CCATATGAAGGAGCATCCCGGACAGCCTACCTCCCAGACTCCCCGGAGGGCAGGCTGGTCCTGGGCCTGCTGAGGCGAGCCTTCGATCAGAGGCTCATTTTCACCATCGGACGCTCCACTACCAGTGGCAGAAACAACACAGTCACATGGAACGATATCCACCACAAAACCTCAACACACGGAGGACCGACTCAGTAAGGACAATGGCAGCACTGCAGCTCATTGATCGATCACTTTGGATTGATTGTACCCTCAGTCTATATTTAAGGGGCGTCCACACAGGAAGCATCGCTAGTGAACATTTCAAGCAGCGGTTGCAGAGATCACACTTTATTTTCCACATCAGTGGTTCTTTTGTTCACTGTTGCTTGAAGTCGCTTACTTTCATGTGCACGCTGCGGTCTCTGCACGGCACCTGCTGTGTGGACGTCGCCTCACAAACGTACTGATGAGTGCAGGTCAGCAGGTTTTTGCCTCTGAACATTTCTCCCCTTGCAAAGAGAACTAGCGTGTATCGAGTCTGTGTTAATGTCTCAGGCTCATTATTAGTTTTCATCACAGGTGAAACTGGCTGTAGTTCAGTTTGGTTTGTTAGTGCTAGTTTTAAGTTAGACACCTTACATATTAGCCTACCTTACAGTCAGGCAGCCATCTGCTGCTGGCTGGTGAGAGGATAGAGGCGAGCGTACCACAATCAAGCACAAGAGCAGACAGGAGTTAATGACGTGCAGCAGTAAGAATATAAGGACTTATTTTGCTGTGCCTGTGTTACAGCTACGGATACCCCGACCCCGAGTATCTCAGCCGAGTTCGAGATGAGCTGAAGGTCAAAGGAATTGAGTAAGTTTAAGGTTTGTGTCTGCACAAAGAACACGATTCCTTTTCTACGTTTTGTCTGTTTCATGATTCAACATTTTGAACATAAACTGTATTTAATATAAACTGTAATGTTGGAAGTAACAGTAGTAACACAAAAGGTCACAGTTATGTCCCATTTCAAAGAAAGTCACAGTGCATACGAGTAGATGTGAGGAGCTCTGACATGTGTTTCTGTTCACTGTCACAGGTAACAGATGCAGCCGTCCCAGACTGACCACTGCTCATCACAGGCTGAAGCCACGCGAAGCGTTTCCTCTCGTCGTGCTTTCATGAGTCGTGGTTTTTGACAAGAAGCCAGTTTAAGTTGATTCTCCATTAACTCCCCCCATAAAATATCAGCTACATTGTATAAATGCACTTTGGTAACTCTAACCAGAGGTCTTAATGAGGAGGATGGCTAACATCCCCGGGGTCACTCAGTCGTGTTGTTGGACCTGCAGTGATTACGTTGTTTCATTCTAGTGTCGACTAACAAACATGCAAAGTGCTGAGTGTTATCTTTAACTGTCTGATTTTTGTGTTGTTCTTTCATTATATGTATGTAGATGTTTGTGAATTTCCTTTTTTAATTATAAGCCACATGAAGCTAAATGAAGGTAATGTTGATTTCCTCTTCTGAGCACAGGCAGCCACAGCATGGCTCCTCCAGGTGGTGCTGTTCTCCAGGCTGATTGGTCAGTGAGCTGTGATTGTATACCTGTTCAATCACACCTGTAACCTTGAACAGAACCTCCTCTTAAGCAGTTTAGAGTCGATGTACGAGGTGAGAAGTGAATCATCAGTAAAACTAAAGTAACCTTCAGCCCAAATCACACTTTGAGCTACAAAGAGTACGAAGTGTGTTTAACACACAGGAGGAGCATACAGGGCTTTATGAATGAGTGTGAGGCGCTTTGAGTGCGCTTTAGAAGAAATCTCCAAAAGTTGATTCTGTTCATCTGGACGTTTTGTGGGAGAAACGTTTCGTCATCATCAGGTGACGTCTTCAGTCTCAGCTGACTGCAGGTTTCAATCTTATAAACAGGACATTTGCATAATGACTGAAACCAGCCCACTGA